GCCACGTGGAGACCACGAGGAGTCCACGTAGTGTTCACGTGTTTGTCACGTTATGGCCACGAGGTGGACACGTGGTGGCCACGTGGTGGACACTTGGTTGCCACGTGATAGCCACGAGGAGTCCATGTGGTGGTCACATGGTGGCCACGTGATGGCCACGAGGGGACCACTTGCTGGCCACGTTGTGGCCTTGTGGTGGCTACATGGCGTCCACGTGGTGGCAACAAGGAGTACACGTGGTGGCCACGTGATGGCCACGAAGAGTATACGTGGTAATTAGGTGGTGGCCACGTGGAGTTCACGTGGGACGAACGTGGTGGCCACGTGGAGTCCATGTGTGGGCCACGTGGAGTTTTCATAGGGGCCTATTGGGGTACACGTAGGAGCCACGTGGAGTCCACATAGGGTCAACGTGGTGGCTACATGATGGCCACGTGGAGTACACTTGATCGCCACGAGGCTTCCATTTGGTGGACACGTGGAGTACACGAGGGGACCACGTGTAGTCTTCATGGTGTCCACGTGGTGGCTACGTGATGGCCACGTGTAGTACACGTGACGAGCACGAGGAGTACACGCGGTGGTAACTTGGTGCCCACGTAGTTGCAACTTGATGGCCACGAGAAGACCACGTTGTGGCCATGTGATGGCCACGTTGTGGCCACGTGATGGCCACGAGGAGTCCATGTGATGGCGACGTGGTGGCCACGTGATAATCAAGAGGAGTACACGTGGTTTCCACATGATGATCAAGAGAAGTCCACGTGTTGGACACGTGTTTGTCACGTGATGGCCACGTGGTGGCCACGTGGTGGACACATGGAGGCCACGTGATGGCAACGTGATTGCACGTGGCGACCACGTGGTGGCCACGTGACGGTCACGAGGAATACACGTGGTGTCCGGTGATGTCAGGTCTGATCAGGTCAGGTCAGGTCAGGTCAGGTCAGGTCAGGTCAGGTCTGGTCTCCCCCTCGTTGTGGGCCACCTTGTCGTGGTGAGGGGGCTTGCGGGGCACCCTAGGGTGCCCTTACCAAGAGCCCACAGTACCCCAGTCATGGGGTACGGGATGGAGACGGGTCGGTGGGGCCGCTCGGACGTTTTCCGAGGCAGGGTGCATCGGCCCGGACCGCCTCTATCGCTGCTACCATTGCGACGACGCGAGAGACACGGCGGACCATACCCTCCGGGAGTGCCTGGCCTGGAGGGTGCAACGCCTGTCCCTGGTGGAAAAGATTGGGGAGGACCCCTCGTTGGCAGCGGTGATGAGGAAGATGGTGGAGAGCGAGGAGGGTTGGCGGGCAGCAACCTCTTTCGCTGAGGACGTTATGACGTCGAAGGAGGAAGCCGAAAGGGAGAGGGAAAGAGTGGCTGCTGCCACTCCTCCTCTTCCTGTAGCTCCGTAGAAGTCGGTCGCCTGCGCTAACACAAAGGCCACCAGTAGAAGGGGGGCGTGATGGAGGAGCGGGGGCTCCTCCATCACACTGTGTGCCCCCCC